CCTCTGTTAATATATAGATCATTGCCAGTTTTATTGTCTGTGCTGACTGAAATGCAGTGTCCCGCCAGATAGAAGCTGAAAGCTTGACAGGCCAGATAGATTGCTCTGAGCTCTCATGTTAATGGGAAGGGCCAAAAACCTTGAGTCCTAAGATCTAAGTGGGCTTCCCAACCCACATCTGATGTGTCTGTCACTAGGGATAGGAATGGTTGCTGGGCCACAAAGGGGACTTCTGTGTAAACCATCTGAGCATCCATCCACCACAGGTGGGAGTCAAGAACTATCCTGGGCAGTATTACCCTATGTGCAGATTGTCTGCCCAGTCTACAGCCTGATGCTAGCCAACACTGGAGAGATCAGAGTCTGAGCCCATCATACTGCACCTCAAATGTACACACTGCCATGTGCCCCAGCAGCTTCAAGTACATCCTTGCTGTTGTAGTGGGGACCTGTCTGAGTACCTGGGCATTAGTGTTTGTGACGGCGCGTTGGGGGTCCCCCGTCTCCTGCACCCCGAAATGGCACAAACAGACTGCACCCACCGGTGGAATAGAGGAAGTTTATTGCCTCTCCAGGATACAGCACAGCACAGATGTAGTCTGGTCACAGAGCTGGGCTAGGATGCCTCAGGCCCCCTTGAGATGGGAGAGACTGGGCCCCTAAACTCCAGCCTCTCCATGCTCCCAGACACCAACTAACTCCCCCTCTTCCACCCCTGCCCCCCAGCCAGGGCAGCATTCCACCTTCCTTTGTTCCTCTCCATGGGGGGTGGCTGGCCATGCTCGTTTGCATAGTGACTCATCCTGTTTTGCTGGGTCGCGGTACCCACGGCAGCAGCATAGAAACCAGCCAAGTACCCCCACTACGTCACAGTGTTAAACCTGGGTTCTGGGAGAAATGCCTTTGTCTGGTTGGAGTCTAGGATTGCTCCCACAAACTCTATCCGGTGACAGCTCAGATTTGGTCTTATTTATGAGACAGATTGTTGAATGCATCTGTGATAAACCTGAGATGAGCGTTCACCTGAGACTGGCCTTGATCAACCAGTAGTGTAGGCACAGGAATACTTTGACACAGTGTCTGCGTAGGAAGGCTGATACCACTGCCATGCATTCTGTAAACATTCTTGGAGCAGCTGATTGGTGGGACTGAATTGGCAGAGGATGTTGTTCACTACAAACCTGAGGTATTTCTTGTAAGAAGGGTAAATAGCAATATGAAAATAGCATACCTTAAACTGGGCGTGACATACAAGTCCATTGGGACCAAGAAAGGGATTACAGAAGTCAAGGAGACCATGTGAAACTTGATTTTTTTTTTTAAACACAAATTTGTTGAGTTTTCAAAGGTCCAGAATAGGCCTGAGCCCACTTTTGGCTTTCGGAATTAGGAAATAATGGGACTAAGAAACCCTGTCCCCAGAATTAAGTAACTTGCTGCACGAGCTAGGAGCAAGTGCATCTCCTGGATAAGGAGTTGTTCATGAGAACAGGTTCCCTGAAGAGGGATGGGGAAGGGTGAGTGGAAGGGCAGAGAATTGGATGAATATTCCCTTTTTACCCAGTGCAGGACTCAGTGAGCCAATGTGATGAGAGACCAAGCATGGTAGAAAGGGGACAGTCAGGATCAGAAGGCAAGGCAGGGTGGATCCAGCTGCATGACTTGTGAGTCCCCCTTGATAGTTCCATCAAAAGGTCTGCTTATGCCCAGATGATGGTTTCTGTTACCTGAACTGGGCAAGCCAGGATTCAGGCCATTTCCAGCCACTTATTCCTCCTTCTCTGGCCTTCCTGACAGCCCAGAGGTTTTATGGATGCGGGGGAGACAGGAGGATTAAGTGCCTCCTCTGTGTGATCGGCCTGTTAATGTTAAAAGGACTAGTAGCTCTCAAGTCCTTGAGGCAGTGAAGCCTCTTATCTGTCTTCTCCAGGAAAAAAAAAAAACCCACAGACTTTCAAAGGGGAGATCCTAGATTCTTTGACAGACCTTATATGGCAGGGATGAAACCTGAGGCCAAGAACTCTGTCACATGGGCAATACCCATGGCCACTACCCTTGTGGCAGCATCCAGGGAAGCTTGTAACGATGCCTTGCAAATCAACTTGCCCTCCTCCTCCAGGGCCAAAAATTCAGGACAGGAGTCCTGGGGTAGTAGCTCCATAAGTTAAGCCATGTCCAAGTGGTATTGTAGGAATACCTACTTCAAAGGGCCTGCTGATTTGAAATCTGGAGCTGCAGATCTTCAGTGGCATAGACTTTTTGACTATTCAATTGAGATGCTTTGCCTCCCTATTTTTTGGAAAGGGACCCTGAAAGCCCCAACATCCTCACTGGTTAGCTACATGAATGACAAGTGAGATGGGGGAGGGTGGGCGTACAGATGTTCATACCCATGCAATGGGACAAAATAGCGCCTTACTTTTCTTCTCGGCTGCAAGGGCCACAGACTCCGTTGTCTTCCCCAGGATCTGTGTTGTCCAAAATGGTCTTTACTAATGGCAGAGCAATCTTTCATGAATTCTTTGGCCTGAATAAATACTCCCTTTCCTCAAGAGCTGTTGCAGGGCTCTATCGTCTTCAAGGACTGGGATCATGGCTGTGGTAGCTAATGCCTCATCTGGGAAGGATGAGAATATTGTCAACCTTATAGGCTATTCCTCCATGCTATCACCCCTAAAGGGGTCTCGGGAATGGGGTTCCTGGTGGAGAACCGGGTCTGGGTGATTTGCCGGTGCCTTTCAAACAGAGGATGTAGCCAACTCCACTTGGTGCATTTGCATCCTTGTTGTCAACACAAGGATGGGAACCGGTGAGGCAAACAATGGTGTTGGCCCCAGTACCAGAAGAACCAACAGTGTCTGAGAAGGTCCTGCCAGTGCTGGTACTGATGCAGAGATCGCTGTTTGAGTCAATATGCTGTAGATCATGGGCACAGTGAGAGACAACAAAAACATCGGTGCCTGCAGTGCCAAGGAGAGGCACAAAGGAGACTGAGGACACTGACATTGCCTTGGAATTAGAGTGAGGAGGGTGATCCTGGCTCTGGTGAAAAACCCCAAGGTGTCCAAAATGACCCCCGTCATGGTCTGCCATTGCACTGGCCGCAGTGCTGAGTGGGAGCTGCACTATTGCCTCGCCGGGAAGATTTCCTGCTCCTGATTGCACTCCTGCTTGAGCTATAGAAGTCAGACTGAGTCAGAGGCCTCTGATGCTGAAGACCAAGGAGCTGCTGTACTCCCGGGTACTGAAGGGCCTCGAGTGGGGCTTTGGGAAGTCCTAGGCTGGGAGAGTGACGTGGCACAATTGGTGATTGCATCATTGTTGCCGGCTTGCTGCGGGACAGTGCAGATGGTCATTCTCTTGTGCAACTTGCCCTGTCTCAGTGGGGAGAATGGCACTGTGGCATACATGAGGTCCTGTGCAGAACAGAAAGCCTCTGGTATCAAAGGTCGTTACAAGTCCCTGGTTGGGAGTGGTGACAACAGGACTTGCAGACTCAACCCTCCTTGTGTTGGGAGGAGTCGATGCAAGGTCATGTGGTGGCAGGGTCGCTAAGTTGTGGCCCTACTTGGGGGTCTCAGTAGCAGACTCCCTGTTCTTAAAAAAGTGGCAGAGTGATCCTTATCATGCTGCTGCTTTTTGAGGCACTGGGGATTGAGAGTAGTGCCTGCATCCTGGTTGAGGAACTCTTGGAATGGTCACATGGTACCAGACCCACTAATGGCGCAGGTGGGCTCCATACAAAGAACGATTAACTCACTGCTGCATCTGAAGACTGGTTTCCGTCAGTATCACCTTCAGCCATTCTGCTCCACCCTTCAGGATGCTTGGTCTGAAGTTCTTGCCCTTGGATGGATTTCACCTTGACACCTCAGACAGTGTGGGGATCACTCATAGGCATGCACTTTGCACAGGTTTTGAAGCCTGGCAACCTAGGCATATCCCACTATTGGGGACACAAGGGAGAAGCCTTCCCAAAGAGCCCTATTAATACTAAGTAATTAAATCTGAATTATACCTATTAACTATGAACTCTGTACAATTATATGTAAAAGCTAACTGGTAGCACACTCAAAGACAAGAGCAGAGAAGTTCTACCTAATCGTCATCAGTGGTAAGAAGGAACTGAACAGAGGGCAGGTCAACTGGACTCTATATTCGATGCCATGAAGGTGCAACTCTAGGTGGCACACAGGCTGACCCAATGACTAGCTGATAAGAGTAAAATCTTCCTCGTACCATGCATACATCCACGTACGCACCTGACTGGAATGCACATGAACAATCAAATTGTTTCAAGTTATCCTCTTACTACAATATTCTGAATCAATGAAATCCAGACCTATTGGTCAGTTGGATTATTATGTCATATCAGAATTACAGTAGATTGCAGCATGAAAAAAAACTTTCAAAAAACAGACCAGCCTGATATATATTTACAACATAATATCTGATACAACTGGTAATTGAATCTATTGTTGTGGCCAAATATCCTAAAAATCACACATCAATATACAAGCATTCAGGATAAAGACTAATTAAGAGCTAGTATCTTATGTAAGTTCACAAATGGGCGCTGGTGAATAGCTGTCTCTTTAAGCACCTATGTCCAACGCTTTAGTTGATACAAACACTCACAAAACCTCTATCCAGCTGCTGCCTAGCTCTGAGGACACTTGCACACACAGACACCTGATGTCTGCTGGGCAAGCGCATGCAAAGGCTTCTAAATCCTGATGCCACCCTACAGCTAACCAGTGCATGAAGGCTTTACCTAAGTTTGACCTGAATGGTACTGAAAGGAGAGAAATGAAATAGTATCAAGTTGACTTGCTGAATCATATGGAAGTTTTGTCCTCAATTTACCTGTAAAACCTGCAGACTCATTGTGTTTGCCTTGTTTCATTTAAGTGTTCATGGATGGACCAATGTACCAGTGCGCACACTGCTTACATTTCAACCCATTTTTTGTTACTGCACAGCAGCAAGAATACACATAGTCTTTTTTTCCTAATATTTATTTTTTTCACCTGCAAACTGTAGCAAAACATGATCAGCTTTATTAGGCAGACAGGTATCCCTCTACATTATAGAGAATGTAGGCATGTATAAATAGAAGAGCTCTTTAGGAATGGAAAACGTTTTGAAGAATGAACAAAACCTCCAATTTGACTTCATGACTTCCAATAGCAATGGTTAAAATGATGTAGGTAATTCATTCCAAGAGATACAACAGCACCTCAAGGTGGCTGATCTATTTCCCCAGTAACATTTTTCACATAACAATGTGTTAAAGTTACAAATACTGATATGCACAAATAGCTATTTTCTAAGAAAAAAATATGTACAGTTCTGCAACATAATGAATGTGGTATCTGCAATTACTTATTAGCCAATTTTTAATATACATGATACCGCTACTTTTCTCCTGCCATTTCACAGGTTAAGGATGTTACCATAGCCTCCCATTTTGCACATATTACCTAGTGGTTTTAATACACAATGCAGGTTTGTTTGTTTGTTTTTTTATTAAAGACTTCTTGTGTTTAAAGCTAAGATCAGTGAAACAAGACAACAGTGCAAGAGGCGCAGAGATGTTATGTGACCACATAAGAGTTCTTTTGGGTAAAAGTGTCTATAAGGCTATAAGAAAGGATTTGTTGAGGAGGTTCCTGTTGGAAATTGTCCTGTTGGTGCACCAGCCTGAAAAATAGACAAGACCAAAAAAAAAAAAAAATCAAATGCACAAACTTTTTGCACATATAAATATGTACTGTATCTAGATGGAATTTTTTTAAAAAAAGACCAAACACCTATTACTATCTTGGTTTAAAAAAAGCTTCCTTTTTATGTTAAGCTTAGTATTTTATGTATTGTACTTTTTGATGGTTTAATATAATTGTACGTAAATACCTTGGTCTGATTTTGAAAAGCCTTATCAATGCCATGCCATCTGAATATTGAATTATATCTAGGAGATCGCATGCGGCCTTCCCTAATTTAAAACAAAAGTAAGCTGCATGCATATCTAAATTAGATGCATTGTGCGCATTTCTCTGTCTGGACCTGTAAGAGGACTATTACTATGTAGTAAGTCTCACTTACCATAAAAGGATTACTAGACACTCCAACAGCTGCAACTTGTCCAAACGGGGTTACTACAGGCTTTCCCTGTCCAAATGCAGCAAAACCTGTACCTTGTCAAGAGAAAAAACATTAAAAGTAGCTTTATACAGGTGGCCAAGCCTTAAATGAAGAAAACAATTCCCTGTAAAGCCAACTGCCACCATAGACACACAAGTTAAACTTTTTTCATGGGTAATTTGTCCCTCAAGAGAGGAGGACTAGGTCAAGTCTGGTCCATAATTTAGGTTCTCTAAATATAAATTTTATGCAAAAAACTTGAAGGCAAATTAAAAAAACAAACCGTGAATTTTTTTTCCAATTCCTGTGGAAGCATGTTTTAGAACAACTTTGAGGATTGTCTCCATGCCAAAATGCTCCAAAGTTGTTCTAGTACATGACACTATGTGAAACTGATCAGAAACTTACTAATCAGTTTAACTTCCATGTTCAAACTATTTTCATCGTCTGAGTAAAATGCCAAACATACTAACAATAAAAGCAAAAATTAAGTAATTTTTACAGCTATAAAACTTAAGACATACATTGAGATTCAAAAAAATTAAAGTTCTATAAACCCTTAACATACACCTCGTATATGGTGTCATGGTTTTGACAAATATGCTTAAAACAACCAATCATAGCTATTTACTATTCATTTGTTAGTCAATTCATAACAAGTCTAATTCAAAAATCTTATATCTCTGGATTTTTATTTAAATAAGTTCAAGATATTTTGCTTATCTGTACATTTCTATTGTTGACTGACATCTCTATTCCATTTGTGTACACAGAATTGTTACCCTGAGTGTAATTTCTATGTGAATAAGGGTACACAAAATAGAGTCTGTGAAACTGCCATTTTGTATAAGGGATGTCTTGATCACAAGGGTTGCTTCCTGCCAAAAGAGCAGTGTTACACATGATACTCTACCTATGCACTCATCCCCACATCATGTGAACTCGTCACTACAGTGCTGCACCCCTCACCAAAGCTGCACTCAGCCCTCTAATTAGCTGTACTCAGCCCTCTAAGTCTTTGCACACCACCCTAAAATCTTGCACTCAGCACGTTGAGCCCTTACTTTGCACACCACCCTAAAATGTTGCACTCAGCACGTTGAGCCCTTTCCTTTCCTCAGGGCCAATAAAAGGCCTGGGCTGAGAAGAGTTCGGGTTTCTTTGGACCCTTTTGCTCTTTGGGTCCTTAGGTTCCATACCCGTTTTCATTCCTGTCATACTGAACACCATTGGATTAATGGTTTTGTGGTAAAGCCTTTTGGTTTAAACTTATTTGCCACTCACGTGTGGAATCATCCAATGTAAGAATTTTTGGGCTACAGTCATTACATTGGACTTAGACTTTATTAACCATCACCACCACCCATCTTCTGGACTGAACGGATTCACTGACAAGCCATCCATTCCCGTATCCAGGGAGAACCACTATCCAACGATCAAGGATCTTCCAGCAGCCCAAGCCAGAAGGCGAGGATACTGTGTCAAGAGATCGCCCCACTGGTCCTCCTTCGAAGCTTAAAATTAGCTAAGTAGAAGGTGGTCACGGGCGCCGATCGCCTGACATTTTGCAACGTATTACCTTTTTGTATTGGGATGTTTTCTATCTTCTTTATATCTTGGGATAGGGTGAATTGTGTTCACTACTCCTGTTTTTGCTGTTTATATTCTAAAATACATGGTTTCGCCCTAAACCTCATGTGCCTGATTGTTGGATCAGTACAGGCAGTCCCCGAGTTACGCGGATCCGACTTATGTCGGATCCGCAGTTACGAACAGGGCCCTCTCCCTGGTCTGCTGGAGACCAGGGAGAGGAAGCAAAGCGGCGGAGCACGCAGGCAGTGGACAGCCCAGATGCATCTGGGCTGTC